CAAGAGAAAATAGAGACACGCTTTTACGTGCAATACGTAATGACGTAATTATTAATAGGGATAGATAGATAGATAGACAGACAGATAGATAGATAGATAGATACCCTGACCGTTTTTCCACAAACTAGACACTGTTTGTCTGTGAAATAGGGACAAATGAACTGATTTATACATCACTACGTGTCTCCTATCTCTGCAGAACTCCCAGCAGTCTCTCCCCAGGCTGTGGGTGACTCTTTCCCAGCAAAGATGTGCTTCCCGATTACCCATGAACACCGTGGTGCTGTTTGTGCCGCAGCAGGAGGCCTGGGTGGTGCAGAGGATGGGCCGCTTTCACCGGGTCTTAGAGCCGGTAATTATCGGCCTGTACACGAGGAGGCTATTATCACAAGGCACAATTTATCTATTTAAAGGTATACATAAATATAAGACTTATCATTTCCTGTCCTCTCTTCATAGGGACTCAACTTCCTCATTCCCATTCTTGACAAAGTTCGTTACGTGCAAATCCTGAAAGAGATTGTCATTGACATCCCCGAACAGTCGGCTGTGTCTCTAGGTTAGTTTTTCCTCCAAATTACAAAAACAATTGTGCTTATTAGTGGTTCAAATAAGCTATATACTGTGTGTTCTCTTTCTTTCCACAGATAATGTGACTCTACAAATTGACGGGGTCCTTTATCTGAGAATCTTGGATCCTTTGAAGGTATGCTTGTCATAATAAGCTATAAACAAAAGAGCCTGGCAAAGGTGGGTGCTACCTGTGGGTTTTAGCTATAAGGGGGTCATTTAGGTTTAAATAATGGCAGATAATAAGATAACAATTCTGAGAAACAGTTACACACTTGCATTTCACAGTGTTTGACAATTAATTTGGGACTAAAGGTCTTTTCAAATGTGAACACTGGTGTCATAATGAAATAGCTCTGTTAAGCCAGCAGGTGGTGCCAGTAAATTGGATCATGTGTGAAATTATTTACACTGAGGCCTTTTTCTCTCTGCAGGCGAGTTATGGTGTGGAGGATCCAGAGTACGCTGTGACTCAGCTCGCACAAACCACAATGCGCTCAGAACTGGGCAAACTCACGCTGGATAAAGTGTTCAGGGTAAGAAACATCTGCACATCTTACTGCGTAGCAACAAAATAATGATGCACGTATTTACCTTTAACCTGCTTCTTCTCCAGGAAAGGGAGTCCCTGAATTCCAACATCGTGCGCTCCATCAACCAGGCGTCAGACGATTGGGGAATCCGCTGCCTGCGATATGAAATCAAAGATATACAAGTCCCACCTCGTATTAAAGACTCTATGCAGATGCAGGTAACACACACACACACACACACACACACACACACACACACACACACACACACACACACACACACACACACACACACACACACACACACACACACACACACACACACACACACACACACACACACACACACACACACACACACACACACACACACACACACACACACACACACACACACACACACACACACACACACACACAAGACTGACATCAGCCATACTTTGTAGGATCCTGCTTTCAGGCATCCCTTAAAAGTAATATATATACTTCAATGTATAAATATTGAGACGATTGAAGACTGTTTCTCAAGAGAGGTCATGAGAATTAAACCAATTTTGTTTCTCAAATATTTGACTTCCTTCTCTGCGCATTGTTTCCTGTCCAGGTGGAAGCTGAGCGTAAGAAGAGAGCCACAGTGCTGGAGTCTGAGGGGATGCGGGAGTCGGGAATAAACGTCGCTGAGGGCCGCAAGCAAGCTCAGATCCTGGCATCAGAGGGGGAGAAGGCGGAGCAGATAAACAAGGCAGCCGGTGGGTGCATTTTACATTTGACTGAACAACTGTTTAACTGGGATTTTCCATTGACCCGTGCACAAATCATGCCATCACAAATGTAATTGAAGGTCTTGTTAGCGTACGACTTGGGGGCCGTCATTACGGTAAATCCAGAAAGCATTTAATTGCATGCCGGCAGAATGTGTTGCACAAGGATCTGGTGACTCAGACTTTAAGCAAATCAAACATGCGAGCACGTTTGGGAAGAAATGAGCAAGAGGAATGTTGTAAAATTAGGTTTAAAGCGCACTTAAAAATACAAAATGTACTTTTCTGTGTCTCTAGGTGAAGCCCAGGCTGTGTTAGCCAAAGCAGAAGCTAAATCCAAGGCCATCCGTCTGCTGTCGGACGCTCTGGCTGAACAGGTACATTTTACGGCGCTATCCTGCATTATTTGGAAAATGATATTCCCGGTATGTTCCAGTAACTTCATTTTGGTTTCGTCTGCTAACAGAACGGGAATGCCGCGGCCTCTCTGAGTGTGGCCGAGCAGTACGTCGCTGCTTTCTCCAACCTCGCCAAAAAATCCAACACTTTGCTGCTGCCCTCCAACGCCGGGAACATCAGTGGCATGGTCACGCAGGTATGAGGAATCTTACCACAACGAATATACTAAATGTGTAATTTGTGCTACATAATTCATATTTGAATAATTAAATGATTGATTCCTGAATCCTAACTATTGTGTTTTTGCTACCGTTAGGCCATGACCATTTACAGCAAGCTGGCCAAACAGAGTCCACCAGCTGAGAGCATGAAGACAGACGAGCCTCCAGTTCAGTCACCACCAGCCCAATAGCTACGGACACAAAAAAGACTTCCACAGTTCTGCACTGAAGCGTCCCTGCTGTGAGTCCTCGCTCAGTGTCTGGTGCAAAAGGCGCTCTATCTCCTGCAGGGCACAGGATGTTGCAGCAGAGAATAAACAAAAAATGTGGAGCGAGGACGACTGGGAGAAGAGAAACTGAGCCACAAATTAAATTACATGTGTTGGTGTTAAAGGGACAGTTCACACATAATTCACCTCTTACCTGTATCATTAATCTCGATTATTATGGTGTAAAATGAATGAGATTAGATTGATAAATAGATATGTTTGTTTGTGGTGAACTGTTCCTTTAAATGGACATTTGCAGGCTGTTATATTATTTATAACTGAATAAATATTTCAGGGCATTTGGCACCTAGTCTTGTTTGTTGGAATATAATTGAATATGCTTTTGTTTTTGTGTTTTCTTTTTACTTTGTTGTTTGCAACCCTTAAGAAATAAAGTAACTACACCCAAAGAACCAGTTTTTTTTTAATATACAGAATAAAATAATAAATTACAAGTGAAATCATTATTTGGGTGTTTGACTGGATTAGGAGGAATGTGCGCACTAAGAAAAATACTGTATCTTATCTGTATAAGTGAATACTGAAAAATGGATATTAAAATTGCAACAGTATGGTTTCTCAAGTTTTTATATTTGTACGACATTTCAGATATAAATAGTTTATAATAATTTGGGTATGTATTGTTAATATGAGCACGTATCATATTAATACCTATGTAATTCTACTTAAATTCTGTTTTAAACCATGCTTTACGTCACAAATCAGTTTTGTTTAATTTAATTTCCTTTATTTGCTTGCTATTGAGTATTTTTACAGTGTAGTGTTAGTACTCTGACTTTAGTAAAGGATCTGAGTACTTCTTCCACCTCTTTATCATGCTCTCTCATGATGAAATGGAGACAGCAATGAGAGGAATGTGGAATTTGGTTGTGCGGATTTCAACACATAAAGCAAGCAGACACTTGCCGCTGCCGTGTGTGTGTGTGTGTCTTTAATCCCTGAAAAGGCTGGCAGTGACTGGCCCAAAAATCGGATGTTTTCTCACCCGAGCGTTTCCCAGACATACCTCTTCCTCCTTCCGCCTGGTCGTCCTCCTGTCTGTCCGTCTGTCTGCCCCATAATTTATTTCACAGTTGTCGGTAACTGCTTCACCCTGGGAAAAGAAAAAAACTAGATATTATAATTGAAAAATAAAGCTTCCTCACCTGGTTCTCCTGTTCATCCTAGAGGTGGAATAAGGCTTTATACTTGAGTAAAAGGAGCAATACAAAACTGTCCAAAAGTACAAAATCGTTGGCATCAAAATATACTTAACTAGCTAAAGTAAAAGGACATGTAATGGCGTACTACTGTTCATGACACACATGCCAGCAGCCTCAGGGCGGTATAGTTAAGCAGGTATGTAAAGTTTGCCATTTTAAGCACCTTGAAACGGTAAAACCAGAGGGGGAGAAGCCAGAAAAGAGGTGAAAAGGGGGAAGGAGGAAGACAACGATGCAGCTTGATGAAGTGTCAAGGAGGAAGAGGTGTTTGCAGCTGTAGGTGTGAGGGCAATTTCAAGGTTTTATGTCTGTCCTGCCGTTGAAAAGGAAAAGCAGCCGACATAAAGCAGTGAGGGAGAGAGAGAGACAGCAAAGGTATTATCAGCTCATAAAAAGGCACTTAGAGCAACACACACATTCATCACGGCTGGCTGCTACTGCACACACACACACTTTTAGAGGCAGCTGCTCCTGTTATGAGGAATAACTAAAACGGAAGGACAAAGAGATAACAAATCTGAGAGAAACGGAAGAGTGATTTCACAACTGAAACTCTCCAGTGAATTTAAAGAGGACATGTCATGCTAATTTTCAGGTTTATATTAGTATTTAGTGTCTCCATGCTTTCACCCTCTGTCTGAAACCAGAGCCCTATCACGTACTATGGGTTGGAGCGCTAGCCAATAGAAGCGCAAGTGTTACATAGTGATGTCATTATGTTCATAAAGTAAAGAAAGGGGTCTCAGGCAGGTGGGGGGGACTTTTTTTAATATTTATTTTTTCCTTTTGTGACTCTCCCGTTGCTGTAAAATAGCTAATTTCCCCCGCTGTGGGACGAATAAAGCACTTTTGATTATAATAAAAAATGAGAATGACGGCATGCTTTGATAGGAAGTTTCTGCAGACACTAATACATTTTTTTAGGGGGTGGGGGCAAATATAATAAGCTATTACGCACGAATCATCTCCATGAAATCCTTCACTCCGCCCACCAGATACAATCCTTCCAATCGTGCATTATTTCTCATTCACTCCACCAGGACGTCTGAAGGCAGGACGCACATTCCCTCTGTTTGATTCAACACCAGAAGCAGTTTTTTTTTTTTTAAACCTCCGTTTGGAAACAGGATTTGGAATAATCTCTTCCCTCTTTGATGTTTCACAAAGGATCAGGAAAAGTTGTGGCAGATTTAGAAAGAAAAGAAGGAGACAGACAGAGCTTTGCCCCGGAGGTTCACGCGGAAGAAACAGGAGACAGATAAAGAGGGAAGGGATAATCTGCGAGAGGGAGGGAGGGAGGGAAGAGCACAGCTGTTGTGTGAGGAGAAAATAAAGATAAAGAAAGCCAGGAGGTGCACAAGTGTGAAGGGCGAAGGAGAAGAGATTGACGCAGAAGTTGAAGGTCAAAGAAACTGAGGAGATTAACAGACACCTGACATCACAGTAACAATGGAGACGCAGCAGGAAAAGAGGACTTACTTCCTTTGAAGTGGAAAAGGAAAGGAGCGGTGTTTGAGGGAAGAAGGGGACACCGTTTCCTCACCATGTTTCATTCAGCTGGCTTCCCAAAGTCTAACAACCTGCGCCGGAAGAGCAACTTCGTCCCGGGATAAAATGACGAGATACCTGCCGACTCTGTGATACCCTCCTCCTTTTCCTCCTCTCCTCTCCTCTCCTCCTTCCTTCCACTTTAAATACACTCACTTCCTCCTCCTCTGCCCTGATATCTCCTCTCCTCTCCATCTCCTCACTATGTGGATACCAGCTTTGCTCATATGGATTCTTAACAGCAGCTATCTGTGCGCAGTGCAAGACTACTATTCTACAATAGGAGACATGGGCACCGAGGTGAGACATTTCATTAATAATCATCTTTAAAAACTCTTTTTAGTAACTTCTACAGCCTGGAAATAAGTGTAAACTGGTGGGGAAAGTAACTACTGTGAATCACAGATCTCTGGTGATATAATGGAAATGAATGCTCTCTGTTTACTCAGGGAGTCTCATTGAGATCAAGAGCTCTTTCACTCGACAACAAAACATCACAACAAAACAATTCAGACACACAGTGATCCACCTGGGGGTTTATGGGTAGTGGCAAGCAGCAGCATGACCAACAGGGTATCTCGCTAATCCACCACACAGGATTGTATTTGTTCTATTTTGTAAAGAACCAAAATACATTTGGGTTTCAGAGTTTCAAAGCAAACAAGTGTTTATAATGCAGTAATGTATCTATGAGATATACAAGAGAATAGGAGAAGGGATATCAATAAGCTGTTGTGAAATGCAAATATTTAGTTTTTTTGGAGTTTAGTGCTAGATTTTAATTGATAAAAGAGGTGGGGATGCGGTAAGCAGACTGTGATTATGGTGTATAAGATGGTACATGGCAATGCTCAGATGATTCAATAAGTATAAAAGAAAGGGAAGTAATCATCGTGACATCACCTAACCAGTTAAACCCCATGGCGCAACATATTGCAAGAAACAGCGTCTGAGGGCTTCTTAACATTTAATAAACTATGAATGTGTCATATCCACTTAACGGGAAGAAACTCAGCTATCAAACAATATTAACAATTTTTAGCAAAACGAAACATAAGGGTAATAACAAAGGCTCTGAATTAGCCCTGAGCGAAAAAATGCTAACGCACTTAGCACGTTACTCACGTTGTCTTACCTTTTGCTGTTTCTGATCAAAAGTTGTGTTCAATGGCATTAAAACGATAAAAACGCTGCTGAAGGTTAATCCAATGTGTCTGAAATGATGACTGATAATCCATCTTCATAATTATGCATAACGGAGTTTTCATATTAGCTGCTACGAGAGTGTATGACAGCTTCCGGTTTTGGGCATTCTGGCTGCGCATCACTCATTCACCAATGGGTAATGTTTAGATGGATTTTAGGAACTTCCCCTCGATTCTATTGGCTCTGACGGTTAAAAAGAGGTGTCAATCATCAAAATCCAGAGGGGGGCCAGAGATATGGAAAATGCACCCAAATGACCCCAGAAGTGGGTTTTATTTTCTAAACCTCTCTAAAAAGGTCAAATGTCACTTGTTTTGCATCAATCTTGATACAGGGTACTTATTATATGTTATAGTTTGGATTCCTAAAGCTTTTAGTCTACTATCCCATCATTCAAGGGTGGTTTTCACTATAAGTAATGGTTTTTTTTGGACGGACACTATAATTTACATTTTTTTACTATGTTCAATCTGAATTTACTTTAAAATAAAAACATCTATATTGATTCTGACTTTTCTACATCCAACTCACAGGTTTATCATTGCTTTGAGAAAAAAGATTATTAATCTACCCCTTTTAGAAGTGAAGTTATAGTCATTTGTTCTGGGAATGTCATTTTCGATTTTCGACTGACATTTTTTTGTCAGGCTCGGGGCTTAACTGGTTTTAAGAACTATAGAAAAATATGGAACTAGAAAAAAGACAATACAGTAGAGCAAAGTACAGCTCAGACATTTTCAGGCGACCGAAATGCTAAAATGAAATCTCATGAAATGAAAACCCACTCTGAAGGTGTAAGCCAAAAACACAGAACACTGTGGAAGCGACCTGTCAATCACAAAGTTCCCTCCAGAGGGAGTTTCTCTCCCACACACTCCCCCCCCTCCATTGGACTCCTTTGTTTACTCTCGGAACATAGTGACATCATGATGTAACACTTGCACTTCTATTGGCTAGCCCTCCAACACATTGTACATGACAGGGGGGAGGGACATCTCTAAGCAGTTGACCAATCAGAACAGAGCCGGCCAGCTAACCAATCAGAGCAGACTGGGCTCTGGTTTCAGACAGAGGGTGAAAAGAGGTGCTGCAGCACAGGCAGTATGAGAAAAATAAAGAGCTTTTTGAACATTAAAGCCTGGAGACATGTCCCAGTAGAGACACAACATATGAATATGAACCTGAAAATGTGCACAATAGGGCCCCTTTAAATATATTATACATCATTATTACAATTACCTCAATTAAATAGCAAAACACTCCTGGTAGTAGTAATCATCCAAAGGGTTTAATGCAATTATTTAAGAAATAAAAGGCAGCCAACTTTCTCTTTCTACTCCTGTTTCTGCAGTATTCTGAGTAATATACAGCGTAAGATTTGGTTTCAGATAACTACTTTACTGTAAATGCCGTGCATGAGCCAGCAGGAATGTTTGTTGTTCTTCCCTGGAAGTGTCTCTGGGGATGAGGTAAAAGCTTTCCCTCTCTAAAAGCTATGTGTCATGAGATCCTCTGACATTTATTAATATTAAAATACAAGGGATCGTGTTCAAATCCACTGGAAATCCAATCATCTTGGAACTGAATTAAAGGAATCCTAGTGACATAATAAGATGGGAGTATAAACAAAAATTAAAATGGTGTTGTTGTTGCTTGTAAATGTTTGCACTGGCAGAAAGAGTGTGTGACGATTGCATTGGGTGTGTGCACATGTGCGTGTGTGTGAAGTATCTAATGCTGCACCCCAGAGCCTCGGTCATTTATACATCATGACCTCATCGTCCAACAGCGATGACCTCATGTCATGTGATCACTTAACAAGACGAAGGAGAGGGAGAAGAAATTATATAACTTTGTGTTGGACTCAACTTACTTTGATTTCATGCCATAATTAATGTCCACCCTTACATACAGAAGCCAGAATCTTATATGAAATCAGAATAGTTTTTTAAGGTTATTACACATTATGATGATGAGTCATATCGGATGTCTAGAAACGAACAGAAAGGGGGGAGGAGGAAAAGAGAGAAAGAGATATATCCACTGATAGCGTCAGAGATCTGGTTTCTGTTAAGGTGATGCCAGCTGTACCAGTCTGCTTCTCCTCCGCCTGGGAAACTAAACAACTACGCTCACTCCCCGGGGGAAGAATTAATACGTGACACACAAAACGTTCGACTGACATGTAGTCCCCACAGCAGCCAGTCTGTTTCACCATTAACCTTTTATCTTGTGTGTGGTGTGTCTCTACGGAGTGGAACAAAGTCAGAGAAACCATTACAGGATGACTCACAGGAGGAACGGTTTACAAAGCTACTGTAAACTGAGATCTTCCCTAATAGTACAATAAGTGCAGTTGCCAGACCTTGAAGTTATATGAAAAGTTAACTTGTGGTTTTTGAAATAAGACACTTGACCGTGTCTAATGCTGCATTTAAGGACTGCTCCGAAGCTCGCACATAGAAGACTTAAAGCTTATCTTGTAATGGAGGGCACATCGAGGAAGTGTGCCAGGAAATATATCAGAAGGACCTAGAAACATTTCAGATTACAGCCTCTTTCTCAGGGGCACCGCAGCAGGTATTTTCAGATTTTATCACACTGCCCGAGGTGACATGTTTTATAGTCGTCTGAATGCTATAAAAAGAAACCACCAAAAAAGCAATGCTAAGGCATAATGAAAGAAATGCAGACTTTGCAGATTCCTCATATGCAACAATGTGTGAGTGAGTGTGTGTGTGTGTGTGCGTGTGAGGAGAGGACACATATCTATAATAACTGGCAGAAGCCACCACGTTGTTAGCTATCAGTGGAGATACTGCAGAAAATCACATGCCTGTGTTTCCCCTTCTTGTCGATTTCATCTACCACGCTTCCTGTCTACAGTAAAGGGTTTTTCCCAAAGAATTATTGGTTGATTCACATTTCTCTGCATATTTACTTCCTGTCTGCAGGCTCCAGAACTGTCAGGTGACCAGCCCAGTTTGGAGTCAGTGACGAGCGTGGATCAGCTGTTACAGCTTCTGTACCCAGAATACAACCTGCTTCAGCACTGCCTGAGGAAGAAGTCATGGCCCTCCTCCTCCTCCTCCTCCTCAGCGAGCCCTCTGGTCCACTCTGACCTGGAGGATCGGTGGGGTCAGCCCCGCGAGGAGGCGCTTTTTAAAGTAGACGGGACTTTTTCAAGTAAATGTTTTATAACTCCTATAAAGACCAAAAATCTTACTATAAATCCTCTTGAACGCTTTTTGGGCTCATTCTTGAAACACTACAGTGAGCTGCCAGAGAGTTTCCCCACACTTAATCACATGTGTTTGCATTTGCCAGTCATCTTAGAGGAGATCCAGCGGACCTCCTGCCAGCCCAGAGAAGTGTGTGTTGAGGTGGCCAAAGAATACCCAGAATCCACCAGTCAGTTCTTCCTGCCTCGCTGCGTGGCGCTGCACCGCTGCGGCGGCTGCTGCAACAACGAGGCGTTCTACTGCACCAACACCAGCCACACACTGGTCAACAAGACGGTAAGAGGAGGGGGAGGAGGTACTCTGATTTCTATACTGAAGTACAAGTATCTCAAATTGTACTTATGATGTTCAGTGGGCCCAGCTTTGTTCTACTTCAGATTAACTCAACACTCAGATGACAGCATGGTGTTGGTATGTGTGTGTATGCATCACAACCCGCCCTACTGCAGAGGGACCCTTTAAACTGCACATCACTACAACACACAGTCACGCACACTTACACAACCTCACAGTCATTACATCAACCTCCACACGGCTGAAATCAATTCAGTCATTACCAGTCTTTAATTATTCTAGAAGATCTTAAAAACTGAATAACTTGGCCAACATGAAAGCAGAAAAGAAAAAGAAAAATCATGCACAATGTATATCGTTTTGTACTCACACACCTTGGTCTCTTCCTCCTCCCAGTTGATGGAGCTGTCCCCGCCCAGGATGGAGCGCTCCGTCGTCATGGTAACATTTGTCAACCACACTTCCTGCGATTGCATCTCGAAGCGGCCTCTGCACTCCATCATCAGACGAGCCGCGACAGATCACCTGTGAGTCAGAGAGAGGAGTGACGCGCGCGTGAGAGAACATTTCGGACTCATTTTATACATGCAATACTAATAATGCGTGCGTGTGTGTGTGTGTGTGTGTGTGTGTGTGTGTGTGTGTGTGTGTGTGTGTGTGTGTGTGTGTGTGTGTGTGTGTGCAGGTGTTCCCCACCCGAAGTCCCCTGTGCCTCTGGGTTATTATGGGATCCAGTGAACTGTTTGTGTGTCTCGAGAGACGCCATGAACTACTCTGAGAGAGAGACAGGTACATGATTTATTAGGATAAATTATACAACTTTGATTTCATTTGTATGCTCCAAATCCATTACATTTCATCAAAACCCAAAGATTTTCACTTTTTATGAACTAAATCTGGGAAAATCTCCATATGAAAGAGGCCCTATAATGCTTGTTGGGGTTTTCCAAGAGAAACTCTTGCAATTGAATTCCCTGGAGGGAGAGATAATTCAGCTGTAACAAAAGACTTGTACATGTCTGTAGTTTGCAGGACCTAAATACCTTTTGTTTGTCTCCACGTGGCTCTCAGAGGTGCTGGACTCGGGGCTGCTGGCTCTCTGCGGGCCGCACCGGGTTCTGCACGAGTCGTCCTGCGAGTGTGTGTGTCGCAACGGACTCACGGAGGACAGCTGCGACCCGGGCTGGAAACTGGCCCACAACACCTGTAAGCAGGCTTTCAAGCTATCCACATATCTTGAATTATATATAGTAGATATTCAAGACTTTCTTTTAAAGGACACCCATATTAAATGACTTATACATACACTTATTACACATATACATATTAGATAAAAGGCTCCTTTTTTTGTGAGAAAATGGTTAAAGAAACACACATTTTTCTGTAGTTACCTCCTGTTTCAAGAGGTCGATTTACTGTAAATAAACCACATTGTTAAGAAAAGGGGGCCGGCATCCTGAAAGCAACCGGGCCAGATCGAGCCAGGATGATAAACACAGGGAAGTTTTAGGAAGCAAAATATCTAACAAGTCAGAACCTGAGCTCCAAATATTTAGCAACAACAGCGACAGAGGAGCACCAGCCGATATCTGATGAAGCTCTCTCCCCGCAGGTGAATGTCAGTGTGAAGGTCAAGGCGAGGGGAAGTGGTGCCCCACCGGCCAGCGCTGGGATGAGGAGCTGTGCGGGTGTGTGTGTGCTGCAGAGTGTCCCAGGAACCAGCCGTTGAACCCCGACACCTGCCTGTGTCAGTGCAGGGAGAGTTCGCCGTCCTGTCTGCGGCAGGGCAAGAAGTTCAACCCTAACTCCTGCAGGTAGGCGCACAACAGAACGAGCAATCTGTCCCGTGCTTTCTCAGCTCTGCAGACTTTCCCCTGTGGAAAAAGGAAAGGAAACACAGTCTCCTTTGGGGGATGAAATTATTCTAAGGATCCACACTTTCTGCCAACTGCAATTTGAACCCCTTCTGCCCTTAGCCTGAATGACACTAAGCAAACATTTCTATCTTGCTTTAATATTCAACTAAAGGGACCATTACATCCTCTCTCTGTGAAGTGCAGGCAGAGCTTACATGAGCCAAATGTAACACAAGTGTCATTCTAGAGAGAGAAAAAGGGACCTGTGGACTAAAAGCAAAGTTTCAATAACAAAATATGCTGTGTTTTTATAACTTATTTAGGCAAATTAGATCAAAATAAGCAAATAGTTTAGAAATATGAGAAAAGTGAGCCATCTTACATGATGACAGGGCGATTAAACTAGTAAATTATTAACATAATATAGGCGGCAAGTCGTTTTAGGGACTTCCATGTGAAAATAAATGCACTTATTTTGTTCTTTAATGCTCTAAGACAGTGTTTTGGGAATGCATAATGGCGAGAGAGTTCTTGGGTGGCAGAAACTTCAGTCGTAACTTCAGTTAGTTCATCATAAGTTACCTCAACCAGTGGTTTGTACTGGGGGAACTGATCCAGTCTGCTGATCGGCCCTTAGGGTGCCATCACAAGGCTTTCTGTGGGAGAAAAAGGGGTGAGGAAAGAGTGAGAACCAGAGCTTAGAGAGGGGGAGAAAGCAAACTCTCAATGGACATATCATACATTCCGAACTCGAGAAAATATTTCGCTCACATGTTTCCATACGACCTTTTATGGACACAGGTCCAAGTGGTGTTCATGTAATGCATGCGTGTCGCGGTTTCCCACAGCCAGCATGCAAGAGATCAACCTCCCCCTGACCCCAGAGGCCTGCAGAGAGACAGACAGGCAGGCTGGAGCAGCGTGATGACAGTGAGCAGAGACCGAGAAAGGGACAAGGAAAAACATATATGAGTGATTTCCTATCATGTGGGAAAGTTCACCAACATACGAGCAAGTAATGGAAGGAACTCTCTGAGCTCGAGAGATCTTTACAATTGAGCAAATCACTGTTTTAACAATAGAATATAAGAATAAAGCATGCACATTCATATCACATTGATTTCCTTTGATAGTATAATTCAACATCTGGTCACAGGAGGTGGTGCACGGAAGACAATGCACCTACTGTGATTTTGAGGATGAGTTCCCAGAAATGTGGCCATATCTCCCTCTCCGGAGACATGCTCCGTCTTTTTCTCACGCACAGAAACGTTTGATGCAAAATAAAACTTGGATCAGGAGTTTTATCCGAACGAGATCTGAATGATTGAGCATGCCAAGAGAGAATCCCCTGTGTGTTATTTTTTATTTATTCTCCACGCCTCTCATCCGCCCTTTTGCATCATTTGGTCTACTTTTTCCGCCTCCTAATTCTTTGTACTCTCCTCTCTTTTTTTCTACCTCTTGATCGTGTTTTTTCTGGCTTTCTCCTCTGTCTAGTTGTTACAAGTTGCCGTGCAGAAAGCCCCGACGTGTGTGCCAGGAGGATTACTACTACAGCTACCACGTCTGCCAGTGCATCCCCAAATACATGAGGCGGCCCGAGTGGAATTAACACAGATAGAGGAGCAAAAACCGCATGTATTTCCCTTCAACATGAGGCTGCATTTAGGGGGGGGGGGGGGAAGGCGGAAATGCCTCTTTACAGGAAGATGGAAGGACACATTTACATACTGGATTATAACAGCAGCCTGGAGGAGTTTTATTAATGCTCACTGTTCTGAGGATACTTTCAAGTGGCACAGAAAAGGCAGGAAAACTCATAAAAGTGGAGAAAAGGAGGATGTGTTTGACTCTCTGAGACCTCTGACTGGAAGCAGGTAATCACACCTGCTTAAAAGCTCCACAGGGAGGGGGGGAATGGACCAATCAGACTCCTTGGCAGCGCTTATCCCAACTGCAACGTGTTCGAGCAAGACCTTCAACCACTCATGACTGTGTGAAATGGAAAGTGGAATAAAATAATGACAGACTAGACTCCATGCTCCTAATTTTTTTTTAGATGAAATATGCTGCAGGCCCTTTGGCAGTGGTGGGATATTTGAGAGGTTGAAGGATTTCTTTTGCATGTAATGTGATGTTGCCGGGCTCTCGACGTGGAAATGGTGACAGTATCTTTTGGTGATGCACCAGAGGCTGTTTCCAACACAAGAACAACAAAAGAGATGGAGTAAAGCTTTTTCTTTTTACATAAACGTCTTAATTAACGCATTTTCCTTCGGTCTTTTTGCTAGAGAAAGAGGCAGAACTTGTTTAATCAAACGCTAATTTAAACACTGCCAAAGACCTATTATATCCTCCAGTTTCTACTTGCCTGTCGAGCTGCAAGTGTCTGATCACAATCAATGGGAACTCTTCAAGTAATTTAACTTTACACTCTTGAGTAATATTATTTGTAAATATTTAAACGTTGTCATATTTAATACTGATATTTTAAATATGGAATCATATGTATTTAAGTCTCTACCCTAACTAAATGTTGTTTTGCGATTCTTGTATTCTGCAGTTTTTAATAACTATGAAAAGTTGTGTTTTTAATTGTCCGCACTGCAAGATTAATATGAAAGCTTTAAAAAAAACAATGATTTAGGGCTACATGTTGGGATGAAGATTTACGTAGAGATGATTGTAGCGTTTGTGCTATATGGATGTAAAGAAAAACGTCTTTTATCATGCTACTATTGAATATTTAAAGTGATTTTGAAGTATTAAAAGCCTTCTCTGACTGATATATACTGTGTCCCTGTTTGTAAAAACATTCTGGCAGTGACAACATGTGAGGAATATTATCTGTTTTAATATTTTAGAAAACAGTTGGCATTTAAAGTGCAACGGTTGATGACCACCGGCAGTTATGAGATCAAGCTAAATGCTAACCTATTGCTACATCAACTAATCTCAGTATGTTACACTAGCTAACATTAGCCACCATGTGCTACAGCCATACCATGCTAACTAAAAGGGCCTTTTATTTCCTTTCATATTTTCACTTTTGTTGTGAATACTTTTGACATATAGTTCGAATATTATGCCGAGTAAAAGGTCATTTTTATCCGGAACAAGGTCAATCTTTATGAGCTTGTGTGTCATGGATAAAGAACAGCAAAACATCTGAATTATTGAAATTAAGAAACAAGTGTTTTACTGCCCAGGAAGTCAACAATAATTTGTAAGAGCAAGAGTAAGCCACTTTTCACCTCAAACGTTGCTTTAAATGTTCAGTTATATTTTCTTTAACTGTTATTTCTTTGGTCTTAGCAGGGTTTAGCTTAGACAAAACACACACACACACCTGTGGGTGGGAACTTGACTCTTCCTGCGGTCTCCTGTTTCTTCCTCTTCGGCATTCTCTCTCTTCCCGTCTGCGTCTACCACAACAAACATTGAGTCACATTTAAACTAAGAGATCTCCTTTCGGTCTGCATCGTTACATAATTACTCGGCTAGCTGAAACACATTTCATCTGTGGAATCAAGATGTTATATCACTGACCATGACAAAGGGGGATTTATTTCCTTTGAAATGACCCTGAAGTGTCCATGAAGCTCCTCTGGTAGGGTCAGCTCCTTTTAAATAAGGAAAATGTAATTAAAATTTAAATATTTGGATGTTATGTCCTCCAACAAACCTTTTAGTGCGGAGTTGTGCACACTTTTTGAAGTAATTCATCAAACATTAAAGCCAAAGGTTTTCAATGTTGAGGAATTGTCTTTTGAGTGATCCACATAATAAATACCGCTGTCTTATCTGTCGCCAGGGCATCGAAACCTTTTATTTCAAGATGTTGGCGCAAACTGCTCATTCCTCAGATGGAAACACACGGTGTGAAAGCCAGCCGAATAGTTGCAATTTGAAATCAGTTTTATTTTTTTACCTGAAGAACAAAATATAAACCCAGATCCAATACCCCCTTATATAATAAGCCATTGAAACTCTTCAAATATTTACAAAAGATAGAAAATAAAACATAAATAAATATAACTTCCTGCTGCTGCTGATATTAAAAAACGGTAAAACTGTGGTTTGCACAAACATTCCCCTTAAAAGAGAAAAAGTGTTTATAGACAGTAAAGATAACATCTATGGCTAGGTGAGGAAATATAATATAAACCAGAACGTTAGCTGCTCCACTCAAAGCGAATAAAACACAGAACATTTTCAGAAAAATATTAGAGAGACACTGGCACATTATTGTTATTGCTAAAAAAATATAGCTTGATGACAGGAAGTCCGTCCAGTGATAAATACCGTGGAGCAGCTTAGTATGTAAAATCCTTCAGTTGCAAATAATAATATGTTGTGTTTTGCAACAAATAATGCAGAGATTGGTGCACACTCCCCCCTACTGGTGAAGACTAGCTTAGACTTAACCCCATAGGGATGTGTGAAGTAGTTAAACAATAAAATACATTTTCCATACAGCAATTTTACAAATGTTCAAAGATTAGGAAAAATATAGGGTGTTAAAATAAGATTTGTTGAGTGTTTAAGCAGAAAGAATATTATGAGAACAGTGCAAAAAGCAAACATTATATGGCTTGTGAAAAATATGAATGGTGATGATAGCAGGAGCAGTCTCAACGTCAGTTTTTGTTTCACAGCTTTCAGAAGTCTTTTTAAGCCACATTAATCTCCAGGAAGCAGCTGGAAACAGCACGGCGGATCCAGAGCAGGCACTTCGCTGTACTGCTAACGGTCTGACTGGCTTTCAGTCCAGTTGTCTTTTATCGAGCGGTTTTCCCACGGCCGCTCCCGGGCCTTGTGTTACAGGCACATGCTGCAGGGAACGTCAGGACAACCCTTCAGGTCTTCCAGATGCACGAGTCCTTGCCAACATTGGGGAGTAGGTCATCCGGAGAAGTCTGATCAATGCGGGTCTACATCTTTGTTATCCCTCCAAAAGTCACTCTGATTTCTTTAAAAAGACGTTAAAAAATGTGGCCTGAAACAGGAAAAAAAGAGAATTATGACACAGCTACCCAATAACGTGGTACTTTATTACCATGATACAAATATCATCTGTTAAGAGTCACTATACAGTCCTCATTAAGGGCGTCGTAATTCACGATATAATCATAATATCTATGGCACAAAAAAAGTGAGTAATGCCATTATTTAAACGTGTATTGTCTTTATCCATTTGCACGGCGAATATATGTCAGCTGTAACGCCAGAGATGTCCCCGCTGAGGAACAATTAAAATATTTCTGATTAATTTTTTAATATCTATTTCATGACTCACCCTCGTCGTCGGAGTCGAATCCAAAGAGGTTGGAGCACTTCTTCAGCTGGAGGTGACCCTGCAGATCCTCGGCGCTGTTGAAGGTCACGAAACAGTTGGCGCAGCGTTGTCTCTGCAGAGGCCCTGCAGCGCAGGTCTGCAGAGGGGGGGGGCTCTTCTGAGGCAACTGAGAGAACGAGGGCTCCTTCCTCCGCTTCGGCATGGTGATGTACTTCTCATCCAGGTATGCAGTCGGTGGGGGACGCACATACGGCCTCCTCCCGTACCCTGGAAGAACTTCCTGTTTCACTTCCTTTGCTGCTTGTCCGTTCTTCAGTGGAGTGTAACCAGGGCTGCTGGTTAGAGAGCTCTGTGTTTCCTCTTCCTTTAGAGCCCTCGCCTCTGCTTTCACCTCCTTCTCCTCAGTGTTCACAGGCTCCTCAGACGCTGATGCACCACTCGGATCTTGGCACGTTTTCTTGACAATCTCTGCGTCACCTTCCTCTTGTACATTCTTGCGCTTCTTATTTGCTGTGTTGGGGTGAATGGAGTTTTCCTCTGTTGTTCCCTTCTGTGTTTCTGCATCTCCCACACCAGTAGCGCTCTCTGCTAATGTGCTAGCCTGTTTCTCTGCAGATTTGGACTTCTTTAACAGAGATGTTTTGCTCACATCTTTGCATCCCTTGGGCATTTTCTTATCAACTTTTTTACGAATTTGGTCCTGCTTTTCCTTTTTCCTCTTTTGTGGTTTCCTTGACTTTACTACTGTCTGTGTTTTCTCTCCTGAGGTGTTGGGTGGTGCGGTGATGAGATTTAAACCGTTAGCAGGCACAGAAATAGAGGAGATCGACGTGGCAGGACTTGTGGAGGCAGACGTTGGTTCTTTGACAGGACTTTTCTTCCTGACAATCTTTGCATTGGCTTTTGTTTCCGTAACCTTAAGCTTCTTTGAGTCCGAAGGAGCAGTTAGGCTACCGTTTCCTGTGGCAGCGCAGCGTTTCTTTACTTTATTCCTCACTTTGTCTGCAGAGGTGGTGCTGATTTCTTGATTCAAGCCGTTAACTGCCACAATAGCTGTAGAGATTTTGTTTTGTTTAACATGATTCTTCTTCATCTGCTTGTTTATCTTAGACTTTGATTCGTTGATTGATGTTTCTGTAATTTTTAAAACATCCTGGACGTGCAAACTCTTTTCTTCTTCTTTTGACTCGATCTTCTCTGCTTTAGTTGTTTCCACCACAGTTTGACTGTTTGGAGCATTAGTCGTGTTCTCATCATGCACAGCCACCTTTGCCTTCGGAGGACGCCCTCTTCTTTTCTGACCTTTTGTGTCGACTTTGACCTCCTTCTTCTTGAACTTGTGCCTCACTTTGATATTGTGTTTTAACGCAGACGAGATGACTTTGTGACTTCTGGTTGTGTTTGTTACTTTTCTCAACATGTGCCTTAATCTGAGATTAGGGCCAGCGGGCTGTGTGCAAGTGTCCTTGTTAGAGAGATTCTTCAATACGTGTGAATCCTTGGTCTCCTTTTTCTCTTTCAACTCATCTTTCTGAACAGACTCGGCTGGTTTTTCGGTTGACGAATGATGTGTGGCGTCTCCTCTTAATTTACGAGCAGATTTGACACTCACAGACTTATTTGCAGTAGTTTTTGGCTTATGATTTGGCTGTTTCTTCCCGTGCAGAGTGTTATTGTGTTTGTCTCCCGTTTGCTCATTGGTGTTCTTGTCTGCTTTAGTGGATTTGGAAGCGTAGTGCTCTCTCTCATGAAGATTCAGTGCCCAGAGACAGATAAACAGTTGCGAGCAGCCAGGGAGGCAGCACACTGCCTGCAGCGGACTGTGCTTCCTGGTGTGGCGTCGCATTTCTATCCCAGTTTTGAACCTGGCCGCACATCCCTGATGGAGGCAAGGATGCCGAGGAGCGAGCCGGTGTCTTTCCACGTGGTGCTGAAAATGTTCAAAACTCCACATGACCCTCATGCAGCTGCTACATTTGCCGTCTCCTACACGGAAGGCCAGGTGTAAAACTTTCTCCTCGCCGTTGTGATCTTCGAGAGCGTGGTAAAGGAGCGCAACACGTTTTTTTGACTGGTCTGTAAACCAAGCGCACCCCTTCACCGGACAGCATAGTTTCTCTTTTCGCTCCACACTTTTCTCCTCAACGATTTTCCTACTTTCTTTTGTGGAGTCTTGGTTTTCTTGTAACCTGGGACTCTCAGCTTTATCATTTGTTCTTTGTGGAGAAGTCTCCTGCTTTGTTGGCTTAGCTCCCGCGTCCTTCTTCGGTCTACCAAGCTCTTCCTTTTTGAATACAATATGCCCATTTATCTTCTGAACAGGGGTTTTACTGTTAAGGTGCTTTGAAGGTTTCTTTTCATGTAAAGATCGACCGTCCACTGACTTGGATCTCAACTCTCTGGATCTGGATGGGGTTGAATCTGGAAGGCTTATTGATTGAGAAGAGTCTGTGGATCTCCTTTGTCTCTCACTACTGTGGCGCCGTGAA